TGGACTGCATATTGACTTAGTTTTTTAAACATGATATCTATGTTTTATTGCATTTTTTATTTATTTTGTTAACATTTGCCAATCACATTTTAATCTGATTCAGGCTGCATTTGGGACTGCTGTGGTCCCCACATAGCCAGAAGGCTACCTTTCATTTTTGTTTTTGTTTTTGTTTTTGTTTTGCTTTTTGCTAGGCAGTTGGGGTTAAGTGACTTGCTCAGGGTCACACAGCTAATACATGCTGTGTGTTGTGTGTCTGAGACCGGATTTGAACTCAGGTCCTCCTGACTTCAAGGCCGGAGCTCTACCCATTGTGTCACCTTGCCACCCCTTGAAAGCCATATTTTTGACACTTCTGGACTAGACCATCATATATTAAAGCTTTTGACCTGGTTTAATATCTGATTTTAAAGAACTAGATGACCACTAGTTAGGTATTTTGTAGAGAGAATTCATGTTCAGGTACAAATTGGACTGCGTGACTTCTGAGATCTCTCCAACCTCTAAATATTCTATGATTCTATGATATAATAGTAGCTTCAGATGAAGAATGGAGAATTTACTTTTGCATGTCATCATATAGTTCTATTGTTCCTTAAACATTTTTGATATATACACCTAGTCTCCCTACTTACACCATAAAAAATTGAAAATGAATAATTTTTGTAACTAATAGGAAATACTTATGTAGCCAGAACAAATTGCCTTTTTTCAACATTCCATCTAAAGCTATGCTCTTAAAAAGACAGTATCCCAACTGATACATGGTCAAGAGATATGAAGAGGCAGTTGTCAGATGAAGAAATTAAAGCCATCTATAGTCATGAAAAAATGTTCTAAATCACTATTGATTAGGGAAATGCAAATCAAAACAACTCTGAGGTACCACATCACACCTATCAGATTGGCCAACATGACAAAACAGGAAAATGATAAATATTGGAGAAGATGTGGGAAAATTGGAACATTAATGCATTGTTTGTGGAGTTGTGAAGTGATCCAACCATTTTGGAGAGCAATTTGGAACTATTACTGAAGGGCTATAAAAAACGTGCATACCCTTTGACCCAGCAATACCACTTCTAGGGCTGTATCCCAAAGAGATCATACAAATGGGAAAAGGACCCACATGTACAAATATATTTATAGCAGCTTTTTCTGGTGGCAAAGAATTGGAAGTGGAGGGGATGGTCATCATTTGGGGAATGGCTAAACAAGTTGTGTTATATGAATATTATGGAATACTATTGTGCTATAAGAAATAATGAGCAAGCAGACTTCAGAAAAACCTGGAAAGACTTTTATGATGTGATGCCGAGTGAAGGGAGCAGAACCAAGAGAACATTGTACACAGTAACAGCCACTTTGTGCGATGACTAACTTTGATAGACACAGTCCTCAGCAATGCGAGGATCTAAGACATCTCCAAAAGTCTCATGATGGAAAATGCTATCCACATCCAAAGAAAGAACTATGGAGTTTGAGTGCAGATGGAAGCATACTATTTGCTCTTTTTTTTTCTTGTTTTGTTTTGTTTTCTTTTTCTTCCGGTTTTTCCTATTGGTTCTAATTCTTCCTTACAACATGACTAATGTGAAAATATGTTTAATAGTAATGTTTATGTATATCCCATATCAGATTACATGCCTTCTTGGGGAGGGAGGTGAGGAGGGGGAGAAAAATTTAAAACTCAAAAGCTTATAGAAGTGATTGTTGATAACTCAAAATAAATTAATAAAATAAAAACAAACAAAAGACAGTAATCATTTCTGTAACCTATAAAAGAGGCTATTTTGAAACAGGGATTATACCTTTTATAATCTTATGATTCAGTTGTCATAATTTGAATGCTTTGTGAAATAGGCAGCTTTTCCTTCACACTCTTATAGGACTAAGCATGTAGCAGGTGCTCTATAAAACTGTTGAATTAAATTGAAATTCTACAATATATTTTAAAAACTTCATTCCTGAGTTATAGTCCTATATACTATGGTTATAGCAGTGGTCAAATATTCAGTGCTATCCTGCTGATACTATTCCTAGAGTTCCCTATAAAAATGCTTTAATAAATACATTGTAGAGAAAGTAACAAATGAAAACAGGCCATTATTTGCATGCTTCTTCAAACAAGGAGTATCAAACTACATGCCTAATCATTATATGTTGTTCCCTGCTAATGTAAATAATGATACACATAAAACCAACTAATTACTACATTGTCTAGACTACATTATCTTAATCTCTACCTGAGGAGCATTAGATCAGTGACTCTACAGGCTATGTGCCAAAGTTTAACCAGGAGATAGTCAAGCATTCTTTCCACTACAGAAATTTAATAAGGGAGGAGCAATATTTCCTATAAGACACATGATCCCCCAAAGTTTTACTGAATCCAGATACTTTCTGGTAACTAATTTTCAGACTTTCTCCCTCTGTAGCAGCTGGATCACACAACACTTACTTCTTACCTGCTTTCTTGATATTCACCAAAATACTTACATAAAGAAATAACAGTTGTTAATTGCTTGAATGGAAAGCATGTTTGCTTTTTTCTAATTCCATAAATGTCTTGAGAAGTTAGAAGGTTCCCTTATTATTTCAAGTTTATCAGCATTCTTTGAAGACAATAGGTGATTAATAAATATTTGTATCACTTCGATACTGAAATGTCATGTCACAATGATTTCATAAGTTTTAGTGCCAATCTTCTTTTGGGGGTAAATTAATCCAGTTTCATGAATAATTATGGTATAATTTATTTAGGAATACTTGGTAGGATATGGCATACTGCATATAGCTGAAAATTTGAGCATATGAAGAATTCCTGATTTCCTTATTTCTGTCAATATCACATTCTCCAAACACTAAGGCTCCAGATCTTGGAATTATTCCTGACAATTGTGAAATCCAGCATTCACCAAGTCCTGGTGTTTATTCATCCACTTAAATTTGGAGTTATGGGACCTGAATTTGAATCCCAGATCTGACATTTATATTTAGGTGTCATTTCTTTATTTAACTATAAAGTTGTACTAGACAATCCCTGAGGTTTTTTCAAGTTCTTGAGCTGTATGTTCTTTTTTCCCCTATGATCCTAATATCTCTGTAAATACATGAATTATACTATGGAGTTAAAGAGTCTTCTGGTTGACTGAGGAATCAGAACTGATAATGCCATTGAGGCATCAAACATGCATACAAAGATGCTTCAAGCAGACCATCCCTTGCTCTCTTCCTTGACAAGATGAGGAAGATTGCTAAGAGCTGCTGGTGAGGGCAGAGGAATTTTCTACTTTATCCATCCATAGGGTTATGTATGATACATGTGTGAATGAATTGCTGGTTTTGGGTGAATGAGTATCCAGGAATGGAATAGACTTTAACTTCCAAGAGCCTCTCAGCAAAGAGAGTCAGTAGCAAAGACCACCAGAACCAGTACAGAAGCCAAGTGACCTCTTTGACCCCTTTCAGCAGTGAATTGACCTATCAGCTGAGATTACCCTATTCTGAAAAGAGCCAGCCCAGCTGAGAAAATACTGACCCATTTACTGAAGACATTAGTCCCCAAAGTGAACTTAATGGAGACTCCTTAAAGGAAGAAAAGGACTCACAGGGCCACGAATTGTGAAACATCTCCTGTATCTTGGATCCTACAACTTGGAGGGTCCAGAAACCCTCCTTCCTATGCTGGCCTGATGGGTTACAATCTGCCTCCTTTGGGACACAATTTTGCCTGGTTAACCAATGTCTCCATATGGTATGAGAGAGGCTGAAGTAGCAACTAAACTTCAGTAGCTACTAATTTGGATAAAAGAAATACCCTAGAGAATTGAGGTTCTGGCAAGTCCTTCTACAGGGCTGAGTTCCTGGAGGTGGGGCTGACATATGAGAAAACCATGGGGATGAGGCAGAGAAGATCTCCATCTGAACTGATTCCGGGGCAGTAGCTATGGATCTGGTTAAGTGGTCTGAAACCTTGAAAGAACAGGACTGAATAGGAACCATCGCAAGAACAGTAGAGGCAATGGAATGGGTCCATTGCCAAACTAGACAGTGGTGGTGATGTCATATGGTGCCAGGTAAAGGCCCCTGTGGTCCCAGTCCCCTTAAGGGTGAGGCAGCTATTCCAGTCCATCTGGACTCCTTGTGATAATTAGATAACCCCCATATTTTTTTTGTTGTTATTGTAAAGTTTGCCACTCTATCCTCATTCCAAATTTGTAATCAGACTTACTGGAGGCTAAAGAACCCTGTTTCTGTGAAGAAACACTTAATTACTCTGGAAAACAAGGGGCTTAGGTTAGTTTAAGTAGTAAGCTATCCAATTGACAGTCCCTTGTGCTCTACAATGCTTATCCAGTCAATCCTTCTCAACTGTTCTTCCTCCACCTCCCCCAAACCCCAACTAAGAGGGCCCTTCCTGCCAAAAAAAAGTAAAGGGCTGAAATTCCAACAATTGTGTAGTTCCCACTGTGTGAATCAGTAATTTGCATAATACAGCAGGCTTCTTTCTTTGTGATATCTTCAATTTGCCTTGAGGTTGATGTAGCCAAAATGCCTGGTATCAAAAATCTTGTATTTTGATCTATCTAGCAAACAACCAATAATTCACCCTCTATCCCCACCCTCCCTTCCCACAGCAACACATTTCTTCCTCATTGCCTCAACTCTATAATTCTTTTTGGCTTTGAAGAGAGTCGAAGAGAAATTAAGCCTTAACACTATAATAGAGGGCCAATGCAACAAGCCCGTTTTTGGTAAGGTTTTGATGAAGCATGTTTCCACCTCAACACCATTTTCATTTCTTTGTGAAGTATGAATTATATTCTAGTTCCATCAGACAAAGCAATATTTGGCAAAAAAAAAGCAAAACCAAACTCTCTGGAGACACAGATTATTTAGCCTAGCAATTAAAGCTGTATTTTTTTTAATCATACTATTACATTAAAAAGAAAAAAGCTATTTATATAACCAGAAATATTAAAAGAATGCATCTTGGGGAAGAAAGCACACTTCAGTAGTTTATTTATTGGTTCATAGGTTCATATAGCAAGCCTTTTAATCATATGCTTTAATTCTGCGGCCAGAGTTGAGTTCAAGAGAAAAATTCTATCCACGAAGATGGCTAATTACTAAGTGGGCAAGGAGATTTATATCATGTTGATTGGGTTCTACAGAATCTTATTGGGAATGTTATAGGTCTTTCAGGTCCTTTTGGATGTCCCACAAGGTATCGGCACTCTTCTTGAGTTGAGCTACCTCCTCATCTTTCAGCTTCTGGTTGATAACGCCAGTCAGTCCTCGGACATTCAGAATGCATGGAAGGCTGAGGAATACTTCATTCTCAATACCGTACATCCCCTTTTGTAAACAAATAGTATCTATTAGTCTAAGAAAGTCATAAAACTATAAAGAATTCTAAATATTTTCAAAGGAGTTAAGTTCAAAAATTGAATCAACACTGTTTCATTCACTTATTTCAATAGAAGAACAGGCATTTAGGTTACTAGGAACTAGACCAAGAAACAGAAATCCTTTCCTCATCAAAAGTTCTTTAAGAACACAAACCTACAATAATAAGCTTAGAGTCAGAGGCCTTACTTTCAAATTCTAGCTGTTCAAATACTCCTTGTGTGACCTTGAGCAAATTTCAGTTCCTCATTTTTAAAACAAGAACTAGGAAGCCTCTAAACTTCCTTCCAGCTCTAAATCTGTAATCTTCTCTTAGTACTGAATTTGGCTATTCAAGAAAAATTGTTTCCCCACCTGTCTCATGAGGATAAAAATTGAATTTGACTTAATTATGCTGAAGACCTAGAGAACCAGATTTCCCTGAAATCTCTCCAACAGAGTGGTGGTGTTTTATACATAGGAATGGGCAGACAGACAAATCAAATTACTTTCCAGTGTTGGAAAATGTGCCTAAAATCCTTTTCTTTGATTATTGTATTCATAGAGTTGTATATTTTCTCTGTGACCAGCCTATCTATGGGGCAACCTAGAACCAATGTGTGTGCAAGTAATAAAAACTTTGTTACAGAATCCTGAAGTTGAAGAGACCTTAGAAAGTAGAGATCATCCTGGGCAGCTACTATACCTTAGAGAGTTCAATCTCCCTTTGCTTGCAAATATGGAAGGAAAAAAGGCCAAGTGAACAACCCAGAAAACTGCTACAGTATATCAAAATCAAAGCTAATGTTTCCAATAAGTACACCATTCCATGATTATACTGATATTGAGGGCAAAAAATGCTTAGCATATTTATATTTATAATGTTTAGCATATTTTCTAATAGGAAGCCATTCAATATTAGCAATTGGTGAATTAATTTGCTTGAGTTTTATACTGTCTTTGCTGTGGATTTCACTAGGCAAGTGGAAAAATAGCAAAAACAGTGAATGTAGGGCTAAAATGGTGATGGTTCCATTTAAAAATTTTAATTATGGAAATATGATTGACTTTCTATGACTTGATTAGTACCACTGGAGTCTATGACTTAGTTCAGTGGTTCCCAATTTTTTTAAGTCTCAAGACCCCTTTACACTCTTAAAAATAACTAAGAACCCCTTAAAGAACTCTTATTTACATGAGTTATATCTATTGATATTTTCTGTATTAGAAATTAAGATATTTATCTTAGTATTTTTATGAAAACAGTTGTAATCTCATGGATCCCTTGAATGGGTCTCAACAGTCACCAGGGATCCCAGGCCTACACTTAGAGAACCACTGGCTTAGTATCTTAGTTCTAGGAAGCTATCTGAAACACAAAGAAATAAAGTGATCTGCCCAGGGTCATACTCCTGTTGTTAGAAGTAGAATTTGAGGGGCAACTAGGTGGCGCAGTGGATAGAGCACTGGCCCTGGATTCAGGAGGACCTGAGTTCAAATGTGGCCTTAGACACATAACAGTAGCTGTGTGACCCTGGGCCAGTCACTTAACCCCATTGCCTAACCTCCCTCCCCAAAAAAGAAGTAGAATTTGAATCCAGGTCTTCTTGATTCAGAAGCCTAGTACTCAATCCATTATGGTACACTGCTTCTTTCTAAAATATGTACATCAATAAATGCAAATGATATTGCCAAATATAATTTTCAAGTCTACCTATACATCTTTTTTTTACCTATACATCTTGTTTTCCAAGTTCTCCAAGTAATTTTTGTTTCACAAAATTTTTGCAAAGCTCCATTAATCAAACATAATTACCAAATATGAAAAAGGCTAATTTATTATGCTAAAAAAAATGGTAGAACCAAAGAACAATCTACACAAAGGCTACAATATAAATGAAAAGACCACTAAAAGGAAGCCAAACTCTGAGTAACTAACTGAAAAAACTAAAAATGGCCCAAGAGAATATGTAATGAAATAAATATCCTTCTTCTCACTGAAGAGGCTACTAGAAGAGAATATTGCATACATTGTCAGTTATAATGATTGTGTCCTTTACTTTTTGCTTAACTGTTTTTCTTTGTTACAAGAAAGAGTTCAATTCCAGGGCAGAGTGGAGAGGGTGGGGTGTGGGGGAGGTATATTCAGAAATGATTAAAATGTTAAAAAAAAGGGCATCAATTAAACTTAAAAAAAGAAAAGACCATGTCTACTAAATCCAGCAAAAATTACTGTCCCCTATGTCCTGTTATGCTATAAAAAGCATATAATAAAGCAATTGTACAAATAAAAGTGAATAAGAAATACAAAAATGATAAGAAATATGCAGAAATAACCCACTTTAAAAGATGATTTTGTAAATGAATTTTTGATAACATTGAGGTATTAGCCTAATATCTAGAAAAAGGAACATTTCAAAGTAAGAATTTGTCAGGGTTTACTATTACTATTCAGGAAAAACAGTATACTGACTAGCTGACAGATTTATCAAAATAGGTAAATTAGGACCTCAAGAGATTTATGACACTATTTACTTCATTCATTTGACTTCCTTCATTCTGACTCTATAACTCATCAAATGATCTGATAATATTTTGGTTTCACTGAAAGTTTTTTTTTTAAAAGGAAAGAGAAGGCACAGACCAACTGGCACAAGCCTTTTGGTCTATGTGAGTTACATCTTTCAGTATAAATTGGCATCATGAATTTATGAGTCTTTTTGGAGTTTGATTATTGTGATTATCTTTGGGTGAAGTAATTAAAATCAAGTGAATATGTAAATCTAAAGACCAGATCCTGGATACCTGATGATAACCTCCATTCCCTACCCGATCCCCTGTCTATCACTCTCCCACCATGGTAAATACACCCTGTGAGGACCTGCCTGAGAATTCAGATGACTATTGTCCTTATTAAGTGTCTCTTAACAGAAAGGAGTAAAATAACATGTTATTTCTCTACAAGCTTTTCTTACCTTCACCATAGTGGACACAGGATGAATCCTGGATAGATTTTTTAACATGGTCTCAATTAGATCGGCAACACTTAATCCAATAGCCCAGTTGGTGTATCCTTTAAGTTTGATCACTTCATAGGCACTAAAACAGAATGAAAGAGAGCATTGAAATAAAATTAAAATATTCCTTAAAATGCAACCTCACATCACATTATGGTTAGACTCAGTCGATATGTTTGCAGCATGCCAACATACCAGAAGACAGAAATGAATGTTAAAAAAAAAAGCCCTTCAAAAGGTAAGGTAAAACAGTGGTGAAATAATCACTGCAAATGAGATTCATATACATAAATACCCAAATAGCCATATGTTCAAGAAAGGATAAGAAGAATGGTAGGCACATTTTCTTTTCAAATAGAATGAATATTTCCTTTTCTTGAGGCAAAGACCTCACTGGAGTCAGGCAGGTTTGAAACAGTTTTGAGCAAGGTGAAATCTTGCCTGACAATTTTCAGTCATTCTGATCTATGCCACAAAAATGTAGTGGGGAATTTCAAAATCAAAGGTAGAAGGGAAAGCATGGTGGAGGAGAAAGAATGGGGGGGGGGTCAAAACATCTAGCTCCCAGGCCTGTTACTATTTAGGTTGGGACTGTCAGAAAAATCAATCCCTCTGTGCCTCAGTTCCCTTACCTATAAAATGGGGTCAAATAGTATTTTCATTACCTACTTCATTGGAATATTGCAGGGAAAGCATAGTATAAAGTGCTATGCAAATGTGGGCTATTATGTGGTCCATCAGTCAGTTGACAAATATTTATACTGTACTAAGTACCAGGGCTGCAAGAAAAAGTGGAAAACTGGCCTGGTTCTCAAAGAGTTCACATTCTAATGGGTGGAGACATAGTAAAGCAACAGAAAATCTAGGGCTAGAAGGCACCTTAGAGATCATTTAGTCCAGTATCTTGAATGAGGAGACGAGTTCTAGACACAGCCCTACTACTAATTACTTGTGTGGCTTTGGGTAGATCCCTTAACCCCTCTGTAGTTCAGTTAAAGGTGATCTCTAAGATCCCTTTCAGCTAAGATTCTCTTTTCCAAGACCAAACTCAGGTTCTTTATATAACAATTTCATTGTAACATAAATGTCCCTAAAATAAAATATCACCAAATTTCTAAGGATATAGGCCATAGTAATAGGGATTTGTTGACTTAGTTATCATAATTCCATACAAAAATAATCTAATCAAAGGAATGTTGGGTTTTTTTTTCACTGCCATCTTATGTAACTGAAAATATAAACCTTACTGTATGGCACGAGCAAAGGGCTGCAAAAGAAATGACATCATCTGAGATTGAGGAAGCAAACCATTTAAATACCTTCAAACAATCAAAACAGGAACTTATCCCTGCCCATGCCTAACCTGAACTAATAAATCACTCTTTACTTGTCCTAAGAATATCATTACTACGTACAGAACTTAACAAAGTGCTTAGAATGAAAATCACAGAATTTCCTTTTTCAAAGGACCTCAGAGGTCATCAAATCCAACCCATAAATTAACAGAATCCCCTTTACAACCTATCCAATGAGTAATTATTCAGCCTTTGCTTGAAGCTCGCCATTGAAGGTGAACCCTTATGTTCCCAGGCAAGCTATGCATCTTTTGGATAGCTATAATTCTTAGAAAAATTTCCCCTTACATCTAGCCTAAATTTCATTCTTTACAACTTCCACACATTATACCTAGTACTGTCATCTGGGGCCAAACAGAACAAATCTCTAATTCAATCCCTCTTTCAGATGATAGCCTTTCAAATGCTTGAAGAGTGCTGTAACAGCTGTCTCCATCTCTTCTGTCCTCTTGTCCAGTTTTCTTTTCTCCAAACTAAAAATCCCCAGAGCCCTCAAATGATCCTCAAATGGCACAATTTGGAGTCACTCCACTATCACCACCCTAGTTACCCTCCTTTGAACATTCTCCAGGTTATCAGCATCCTTCCTACAGAACTAAACCAACCAATCAGTCCTTCAATTGAACAGCAAACATTCATTGAGCTGTGCTAGGTAAAAATAAATAAATAAAAAGGACAGTTCCAGGCCTCAGGGAGTTGGCATTTTACTGATCTGACCAGGATGGAGTTCACATGGGCTAGGTTATTACTCACTTTTCTCATCCTGTACACTATGCTTCTTTTAAAGCTGCCTAAGATTAGACTAAGTATTTGGGGCTGCTGTATCATTGTAGATTGTCCTTCAAGCCCACCAACCAATCAATCCTTCAGTTGAACAGCAAATATTCATTGAGCTGTGCTAGGTAAAAATAAATAAATAAAAAGGACAGTTCCAGGCCTCAGGGAGTTGGCATTTTACTGATCCTTTTGTTCTCTGTTACTTAGGTCCAAGTATTCAAAGATTTCTCTTCTTCCCTTTTTCCTCTATGTGACATTCTTCCACCTGCCAATCTCCTGACCCAAGTCAAAAATCCCATTTGTTCGAATAATTTCTTTTTTGTTTTAACAGTGAAGCCCTTCTTATATTTTTAAAGGAATACTTCATTCTCATCTGCTCATTCATTGAACTCTTAAGTTTCTCTTCTAGGAGAGAATACAATCTTCATTTTGAGCATATGTGAATCACTTGGCCATGGCAGAAATACAAGCATCACCATCATTATCATCTTTATCATAGTTAACATTTATATAGCACTTACTAAGTGACACATGCTGTGTTAAGCATTTACAACTATTATCTCATTTGATCCTCCCACTAACACTGGTAGGTGCTATTATTATCCCTATTTTGCAGAAGAGGAAGCTGAGGCAAACAGGGGTTAAATAACTTGCCCAGGGTCATCTAGCTGGTAAAGGTCTGAGGTGGGATTTGAACTCAGGCTTTCCTGACTCCAGGCCCATCATTCTATCCATAGTACCACTAAGCTGCATTATTATAAAATGTCACTACAAAATTATCTCCCATCTCCATACTTGTTGGAAATGAAAGCCTCACTCTGTTGCTGGTTTTTTTAAACCTAGACAATCAACAAAACAATAAACCAACCCCTGATTTGTAACATTTTCCAATTTCCAAGTTGTAAATGCTCACACTGAAAAATGAATAATCAGCTCTTGCAGGCCAGTATGAGCTAGCTCCAGCATCCCCCTAGAAGGAACCAAATATATCATCCCATCCCGTTCCCTAATTTAATACATAGGGAAAGGTAAACATAGAAAAGTGAGGTAATTTACTCAAGCATGACTCCTAATCTAGTGCTGCTTGCAGTATTTCTCACTTGTTAAAAGAATTCACGAGAAAGGCAATGTTTGATTTTACCATATAGCGTATCGATTACAGGTTTCATTAAACAAACAGTGCAAGTGCTTTCAATCTTACTTTTTTTTTCTTTTTAGGCAATTGGGGTTAAGTGACTTGCCTAGGGTCACACAGCTAGTTAAGTGTCAAGTGTTTGGTCTGAGGCTGGATTTGAACTCAGGTCCTCCTGACTGCAGGGCCGGTGCTCTATCCACTGCGCCACCTAGCTGCCCCTAATCTTACTTCATTTGCTGCATATTATGGCAAGACAGATGCCAATTTGGTGGGTGTGAAGTGGTATCTCAAAATTGTTTCAATTTGTATCTTTTCAACTATTTGTGATTAAATACTTTCCTAAGTGATTACTAAAGAATGGATAATTTATAATCTCCTATCCAACTCTGTATCACATATGCTTATGGCTGTGGTTAGTTGAGAAGACAACCAAAATAACTATACAATTCTACCCAGTGGACAGGTAATGGACAATAAAATCAAGGAGCCATGGGGAACTGCCATTATCGACTGACCTTTCAATCACCAGCTTATGAACTTCCTTCCAGTTCTCACTGTCATTGTCAGTTCCCATTTCTGGATTCAGCTCTTGGAGAGAAACACCTGCCACATTCACTCCACTCCACACAGCCACTGCATGAAAAAGAAAGAAAAAATATTCTCTACCTAGGGAGTTTAGGAAGAAAGTATTTCTTATTTTAATTACTGCAACTTTACCTTTTGGGTAAGTTATGACTATGCACTGAAGCTGAGATCTAATGACGTGATTAGAGCTACAGGGGAGATTCTGAAGAAGTTGATTTATTATATTTTTAAAAATTTCATGACACCTTTAATACTCAAAATTTTTCAATAAAGGGCTGTCCCAAATTTAAGGATGTTTTTAGTTCATATTCAAACATGAAATCCTTCAGATTACTTTGTAGAAAGTTAATGAAGAGAACCAGGAAAACTACTTCTAGCTTAGTCTAAATTTTTTTTTCTGAAGGCTTTTGAACCTTCTTCTCCATCAAAGCTTAGGTAACAGAAGTTGAGGATGCTATGTTTTGTTCATTTGCCTCCTCCCTGGAGTGGACTTTAGAAACATTTGAGTAGGGTCCAGATCATTGTCGCTTACCTCTAAGCCCATTAATAGTCTAATCTAGCCTGGACCTGAGGAGACTGTAAGGGCCTGGAATGGACTATCTGTGGGTGTGAACTTACATATTCAGACTATGAAGTTCGTGGAGTTATACTTAGCGGTATAAAGATAGGCAAAGAACGATCTTACCTATTAGAAGCCATAACAATAGACTCTTTAGTCCAGAATATGCTCTTGCTTTCCCAGCATATCATAAACTGATCTCAATATGTTTCACTCTGCCCTTCCTTGGAGAGTCAAACTGTTGTTGTTGTTTTAAATAAAATAATCATGTCATTAAGATTATGTTTTTTGCTCTCTAACTCTGCTTCAGTATAAGGCATATGGACAAGGAATTAAACTGCATAGATAGTAGCATGTATTAATTTCAAGGGAAGTTTTACATTATCTCTATCCTTAAATTAGTGAAACCTTTATATGTATATTTTAGGAAAAAACTAGACATTAATCAGTAACATTCCAATGAATTAATACTAAAATCATATTACATTATGGGTCACCTCAATCTTTTGTGACAGATATACAGATCTGATAGATGACTAGTCAAATTATTGAATATTATTTATTATAACATGCTGTATATTATTATTGTCATTGAATATTTATTGATATTCCCAAAAATCTATTCAGTAATTTTTTTTGGAATGACAAAAATTAGTATTAACTTAAATTTCATTTGTCAAATTAAATCTCCATTTAGTTCCACAAAGACTTGATGGTTTGGACAGTAATTACATTGAAACATTTAGAATGGCTTTTTACCTACTTAAAAAATAATTTTTTAGTGCCATCAAAGAATAACATGCTACTAGTTCAATCCTTTATACTTTCTAATCTGTACCCATATTCTCTTTTAATTAAATTTCTAATGAAAGTAAATACTCCATTGATATTTCCAGGTATATATTTGCAGTATTGTTCAAACACTTTAGAGTAAATGAATGATATTATATACCTATGAGGTCAGGGTGTACATTAGTCTACAGGAAAGGATAGTAGAAAAAGTTATTTATTCCTATTGATAGACTAATACGACGTTCCTCAGTCACTTTGTAAAGAATGCATACACTCCATTCCTAATGGCTCTTAGATACTTGATATAGTAATAAAGGTTTCATATTATTCTTTGTCTTCATGTAGACTACCAACACATGAGATTTCTTACTTAACACTCCCTCCCACCCACTTACAGTTGAGGATAGGGGAGATTAAAAGTCACTCTGTGAAATAAATATAGATCGTTTGTCAGTCTCCATCTCTGAACCTTGCCTTAATACCATAAGAAAACACAAATTTTTTTTCTTTACCACTTGAGTCCCCATGTTCTCCAAGGATCCAGCCATGGCAGCTGCTTGGATGGATGCCAAGTTTTTCAGACATAAGATAGCGGAATCTGGCAGAATCCAAATTGCATCCACTACCAATCACCCGGTGCTTTGGCAGGCCACTCAGTTTCCAGGTGACATAGGTCAAGATATCCACTGAGAATAAAACAATGTCATAAGTGAACTAGAATTATATTCATGATTAGTTCACTGTCATGCCCACCCCCAAAAGTGAAAAATGGCCACAAAGGCATACGTACCATATCCTGTACTTTTTGACCTTTATACTTTTGCTGATACTGTTCACAAGGAGAATGTCCTTCCTTCACTTATTTTCTCCTCACTCAGTGAATTAGTACCCTTCCTCTGAAACTCAACTCAAACACTACTCTTGTAAGTAGTCTTCCTTGATTTATCTCTCCATAATCTCCAAGTTGGTGATTGCTTCCTTTTCTCTCTCATTCACTTTATATCTTGCTGATGTACTCACCATATATTTATTGTTTTGCAACTATGTATGCATTATGTGCATGTTTGCATTATGGGATATGTGCATATTTTCATATTCCCCTAAAACACTCTAAACACCACAAAAGCAGGCACTGGGTTTTACCTAATTTTTGGATCTCCTTCAAAGCTTAGTATGATGCTTTTTACACAGTACATTTTTTTTTTCTAATGAGGCAGTTGGGGTTAAGTGACCTGCCCAGAGTCACATAGCTAGTGAGTGTTATGTGTCTGAGGCTGGATTTGAACTCAGGTCCTCCTGACTCCAGGGCCAGCACTCAATCCACTGCCCCACCTACCTGCCCCTACACAGTACATTCTTAAAAATGTATTTAAGGGTTTTATTGACCTCAGTGTGAAAATATTAGAGAAGGACAAGGCTCTTAAGAGAAAAGTTTTCCATATATTTGGAATAAGATAAAAAATGAATATGTATGGGCATGATGTTAAAAAGAAAATTAAAAACATTTTTAGATGGAAAAAAAAGCCATTGTCTTTCAAAGTTCACCTCCTTTAACTCTTTTCAGAGATTTGTAGCAGATGGGAACATGAAATTCACTGTGTTCCTCATGACAAAAGAACAAGATCAATAAGTGAAATGACTTGTTACCAATTAAGATTGGGGCATTCTAATGTTTTCTTATATATCCCATTCCACACATTTTTTTGGGGGGGGGGAGATTTAAAGGTGTGAATGGTCAATAAAAACATGCCAGGGCTAAGAGATTAAATCTTTTATGTGTCTCTACACCTACTAGTCCTTAGTTGTCATTTTGTAGGTTAACCATAGTGTAAGTAATGTAATGTAACTTGTTTCCTAATGAGAGGCAAACAAGGTATAAGAGATCCAAGGTTTAGAAGTCAGAAAGACTTGAATTTGTCCCATTTAGGCTCACCACTGTATGACATATTAATTACACTGCTTCAAAAGGTTGGGAAGATTAAATTAGATAATGCATGTAAAAGTATTTCGTAAACTACAAAGTACCACAGAAATTTAAGTTAGTCTTTGGTGTACAACTAACACAGGCTTAATTAAAAATTTAAATTAAAAGTTAAAAAGAGTTAAAAGCCATTTTTTAGGAACTTAGTGAATTGAAGTTAAGGAACTTAAGGTGCTATATTTACCTGGGTTGGAAACCACAATTATGATACAGTCTGGGCTATACTTTACAATCTGGGGAATAATGAATTTGAAGACATTCACATTCCTCTGTACCAGATTGAGGCGACTCTCTCCCTCTTGCTGGCGGACTCCTGCAGTGACTACAACAATCTTGGAACCAGCAGTGACGGAATAATCTGTAAGAGAAAAAGACAGAGTCAAACCGATTATATTTGCAGAATGACTGTTGGCACCCAGAACATTGGAATAAATGTTTCATGAATGAATTAATGAACCATAAGAAACATTTCCCTCTTCCCAATAGCTTTGTATTCTGCAATGGGATTTTACTACAGAATTGCACAAAACAAGAACAAGAAAAGAATGGCTTTAAGATCTATATTTTTTGATTTTTGAAAATGACTGTCATTAAATTTTTGAAAGTAGGTTAATAGTCACACATTAACCCTGAAGGTATACCAATAGTTGGAAGACTAGAAGATTTTCATTCAAAAGGTTTAATAACAAAAAGACCTCAGAGCAAGGAGTCTTCAGACTTCACTTTCAGTGATTATTTGTGTCAGTTACACCAGAACAAAAGAAGAGTCACATTCAGTTAAATCTTCATCATTCTGAAAGGAGATAACTTATTCCACTTTTGAACAGTTTTTACAAAGTTTTTCCTACATTGATCCCAAAAGTGTGCCTCTCAGCTTCTTCCCATAAGGACCAAGTAGAAGGCTAAGCAGTTTTCCATATAATAGCTATGTAAATAGTTAAAGGAGGCTGTGTCTTCCTCCCTAAGTCTCTTCTCCCCTCTAATACCCCCAGTTCCTTCAACTGGTGGTCCTCATATGACATGATCCTAAGACTCTTTTCCATCATAGTTTTGCTCCTCTGGACAATCCCTAACATGTCAATGACCTTCCTAGAATGTGCCAAAATAAACTAAACACAATACATCGAATGTACTCTGACCAGAATAAAATGGGGCTACAACTTCCAGTGTTAAGCAATCACTCAATTAAATGCTTCAGAGGCACTTGTTGGGACTAGATTACTTACATTAGAGATAAAAGGCTCTTAAATTCCTGTAATTCAAGAGAACCACCCTCTGGGAGCCACAACTGTTTCTTCATTTATAAAATGAAAGAGTTGAACTCAATAACTTCTAAGGTTCTTTTTCTAGTTTTAAATCCTATACACAAAGAATTTATTGAATCATTTATCATTCCTGAAATCTTTTACTTTGAGGCTTCTAATCTTATAGTTCTGATCTGAGAAGGTAGAAGGGAATGATTCAACCTAGATTTTTTCTGCTAGTGAGGAGATTCCAAAGTATCTTGAAATTTAGCTTATTAAAAATCAGATTACTTTATTAAATACTTTCCAATTAGACACAAATGCAGAATTTTGGAGCTAGAAGTCTTTGACATTGCATTCTTACAAATGAGGAAACTGAGACCTATCCATTATTTCTTGAGAACCATTTCTTTTATATTTCTAATCAAGTTTTATTTTATTTTTCAAATACTATCATTTCTCATAGTTTTGAATCTGTTACCTTTCTACTCCTGGGAAATAACTTCATTTGCCCCTTCAGATTTATTTGGTTCATTTAAAATTAGGAAAAAAATTCAGTTTTTGTATCTTATGGCCTTTTACCAAGGTATATTTATTACTGGGTGGTGGTTAAATATTGAAAAGATATAAGCATAGACCTTTTGACCTGGAAGAGGTACTAGGAGTCACCTGGTAACGGTTATATTTTAGAAATTAAAAAATTTAGATATCAACCAATTCCAGCTAACATTCTTGAAAGATCATCCATCATGGACAGGGAAACTTTTGTTCTTGGCAGGACTGCATAAATGAACTGGTCTTTAGCAAAAAGCAAACACTCTTCTCTAACTAGGTGGCTAGCTCTGTCAAAGATTCTAAGTCTAAACTACATTCTACTTTTAAGAGATTTCCTTGAGAAAGAGCAAAGGATCATAAAATTAAAGAGTTAGTAGTGGGGAGTGAGGAGATAATAAAGTACTAAAAGTAATTTTTTTTCCAAGTCATAGAATATAAAAATAAGAATGAAAATGGGAATGGGAAAAAATAGCCACTACAAAGTCAGTTGGTGTAAAGTTTTGTGTGATATCTTAAAGAAAATCACTATATTTCACTAGGCACATTTTGTTAATAATATTAAATATTAAAATAATTGTGCTGATAGCTCAACTCTCCTCTCACCCTGGTTAATTTTCCTCACTCTAGACTGTGTTCTTATTTTCTCTCTTTCTCAACATCACCACCAATTAACAAATATTTATTAAGCATCTACTATGTGGAAGGCACTGTGCTATGGAGGAATAAATAAATACATACAAAATATGAAATAATCCCTACACTCAAGGAGCCTACAGTCTAACGGGAGATCAGTACATATAAAAATAATGACACAAATACAATGTGAATAAATACAAATATATACAAAGTAGTTAAATAACAAGGTAGGGAGGTGAGGTACTAGCAGATGGGGAGCATGGATTGAGAAAGTTTCACGTAGAGCTGTGTCTTAAAAGAAAATGGGGATTCTATGACATAGGGGAAAGGAGGGGGTACATTCTAGCACGATGGAATGGAATACAGCAAAAGTAATGGAATATCATATGTTTGAGTAACAGAAAGGCCAGTTTGTTTAGATTGTAGAGTGAAGGGATGGGGGGGGTAATATCCAATAAGGTTGTAGTGATAGGGCTGTGCACAGGCTTTAAATTTGATTCTAAAGGCCATAGAAAGTAACTGGAGTTAACTGAATAGGGGAGTCACACAGTCAGATCTGTGTTTAAGGAAAATCATTTTGGCAGTAGTGTGGAAGATGGACTGAAGTGGGGAGAGACTTGAGGCAGGGAGACCAATTAGGAGGGCACTATAATAATCTAGGTAAGAAGTGATGAAGACCTGAACTAAAGTGGTAGCTGTGTAAGCAGAGAGAAGGGGTTGGTTGGGAGAGATGATGTGGAGGTGGCAATGTCAAGATTTGGTAATTGGTATTTGCAGTGAGGGAGAGTGAGGAGTCAAGGATAAGTATTATTATGAATCTGAGAGGCGAGAAGGATGCTGGTGCCTTTGACAGAAATAGTAAAGTCTGGAATGGAGATGATTTGTGGGGAAAGATCATGAGTTTGGTTTTGGACAGATTGGGTTTGAGATCTCTCTAGGACATCCAGTTTGACGTGTCCAACAGGAAAATGTAAGAAATTAGGGCTATATTTAATAGATCTGTGGGTCATCTGCATAGAGATGATAGTTAAAACATGGGAGCTGTTGAGGTTATTGAAAGTTCATAAAAGGAGAATAGAGGGCCTAGGACAGAACCGTAGGGAGCATCCACTGATAGGGGGCATGATATGAATGATAATCTAGCAAAGGAAAGGAGCAGCCAAACAAATTGAAGATGAACAGAGAGAGAGAGAGAGAGAGAGAGAGAGAGAGAGAGAGAGAGAGAGAGAAATTCACTTATGTATATAGTAATACATATAGTAATACAGATTTGAAACTACCTTTATCAGCCACAATTTTCGGAGTTTGAAGAAATAAGCTCCCATGCTGCAGATCCATCATTTCTCCTTTGAGTTTGTCTTCCAAAACATCAACAAGGGCAAGTTCATCAGCAAGACTCTACAAATACAAAAGCAGGCCCTTTACTAACAAAACATTAAGAAAATCCAATCTTTGTCCTAGAAATCTTTTGTTTCAGGAGATGCACAACAATATCTAAGAACTAGGTGAAATATAAATGGCCATCTGGTATTTTGCTAATCTCATAGGATCATAGATTTTGAGCTGGAGATGACTTCATGGATCTAACCTGACCGCTTAATTTTACAGATAAGATAACTGAAGGTCAGAAGTACAGTGACTTTTCCAAGGTCATACAGGTATATTAAATGTCTAAGCCAGGATTTAAACTCACATCACCTGCCTCCAAATTCAGCCCTATTTCCCCTTATAATTACTTAATTCTATTTCCTACTGCCATGCTAAAATAGTACTTACATACTATAATTCACTTTTCATTGTATTTCTTTGTTTAAAAAGAAACTTCATAATTTCAAAATAATCAATGAGAAGAAAACTATTTCTTAATGATTTAACAAATTCCTAAGATTAAAAAGCTCAAGTATTAAATTATACATATTAGAACACACACTTGAGAACTGAGATTTACTTTGCCCTTTGAACTACTGCAATACTAATAGGGAGAAACAAAAAATATAAAAAGATATTATATAACTGTTACAACCTGAAAATTAGGCCCTGATAGCACATTATATTTTTTTAGGAGCTTGAAAAAGCCTAGTCCAATTTAGCTTACAGAAGAAGCTAAGATGCAAAGAGGTGAATGAAAAGTTTTCAATTAGATCACACTGTTACATAACAGCAGAGCCAATGACTAGGTCTACTGATACGTGGGCCTCTAAGCTGTTTCCATTTTATTACCTTGTCCTTTGGGAGAGGAAGTGATTTAAATTAACTTGAATGTTGTACCTAAATAAATTAAGTTTGGTCAACATGTCATAATATAGTATAGGTTGTTTGGCTTAATCAAGATCCTTCAGGATTTCACATCATTTTATGGAAAAACTTCACTAATTCTAGCAAAGCTGATTTCTAATTGTGAGAAAGCCTCAGCAAATTACTAGAATAATTTGGAATCAGAGATCATCCAGACATGAATTCATTTTAAAATATCTACTTATTATATCAGGGTCTAGTAGTATATTACTCAGTTCCAAGTATGTACCTACAGCTTAAGGGGCAGCTAGATGGCACAGCAGATAGAGTGCCTGGCCTGGAATCAGGAAGATGCATTTCCTGGAGTTCAAATCTGACCTCAAGACACTTCATAGCTGTGTGACCCTGAGCAAGTTACTTAACCTTGTTTGCCTCAGTTTCCTCATCTACAATATTAGCTGAAGAAGGAAATGACAAACCACTCCAGTATCTTTCCTAAGAAAACCCCAGATAAGGTTGTGGAGAGTCAGACATGACTGAACAACAAAACCTAAAGTTAGGAAACAGTATTTCTTTTTAAATGTTAATTCAGATTTTTCATTAACTTAAATTGGTCCTCTCCCATTAATAAAAATTTTATTGTATTTAATATTTTCCCTTTGTAATCACCAAATAATAACCAAACTTCAATAGAAAAAAAAGTTACAAGAGAGATAGAAGAGAAATGTAGAAAAGTTTCAACTAATTCTGATTGGTACATTTTTCTTCTTTATCTAAATTTAAGGAAATTCCAAAAACAAATTTACAAAAGCTACTCCTTAAAGATTGAAGACACTTAAATTAGAAACTTGAGGAGAACACATTTAGTGGAATGCAAGACCTTTTTAATATTCTAACATGAAGGAAATCTCCAAGTCCAGGGTGGATGGCACCAGTTTGGATAGGACAAGTTCCCTTAGCCATGTCTAACAATTCAGGAAAAAAATGACCTGTCCTAAAATTACCCCAGGCCTGGAGCACTCTAATGAGACTAAATGAATTCAGTAATGACTTGTTTCTGGGTATTTAGATTTACTCTAGTGTGCTGGTTTCCAAACAGGGAAGTGAAGAAGGGAGAGAAGTGAGAATTCATATATACATTAAGCATTTATGTTTTTAATCATTATTTAACTCCAATAAACATACAATGTGATTCAGTATGTCAACACAATAAACCCACTTCCTATAAACTGGAGAGAGAGAGAGAGAGAGAGAGAGAGAGAGAGAGAGAGAGAGAGAGAAGGGTCCAATACAAAGGAAGGTGGAGGGATAAATAATGTTCAGAGGTCCATAGGCTCCTCTGGTAGCTACACGATTTCAAAAGGGCTTATTAGGAAAGTCTCTACACCCTCCGTGGAAAATTTATTGGAGAACATGGAAAGGGTCACCTTAGATGAACATGTGTAGATAGATGGGTATCATTAGAGAAAATACCCACATTGATGGAATGCTGCATTTAAGTATAGAAGTATGTAGTAGTTACAGGATCTGAAACCAAAATGCACTTAACTCTCTATATTGTTCAAGGTCACACTGCATATAAAGTCAGAGTTCCAATTCTAGCTCTGGAAAGATAGATGGAATCAAATTGTGGAGGGCATATAAATCCCCTAAATGTATTATTTACAGATGGATTTGATTCAACAAGACAGCTTGATACAGCAGAAACAACACTGCATCTATTGTTAGAGAGACTGAGTTCTTTCTTTTTTCAATGTCTTTGCTCTATTTTCAACATTTGTTCTTTTATTATTTCTAGATAATTTGATCAATTCAACATCTTACAATTGGATTTGTTTCTCTAAAATGTTATTTTAAATTAAAACATTTAAATGTACCTTAAAATATGCTATATGTACTGCATTGCAGCCCTGGGCCCAATTAGGCAAATTCTTCATTTATTTCATTTTTAAAAATGGGCACCAAAGCCCTAAAATAATAGACCACTTGATAATACTCATGATGTTCTGTCAAGAAACCGAGCAGTAATGAATATTAGCTTATTTTAGTAGCACCACGTGTGATGGGGAAGATAAAAAGAGCAAAAGAATGCAGGCTTTAAGCACAAGAGGATGTCACATGATCTTAGATCCTGTTCTCTTTCAGTGGGTGCGGGGGAAAAAAAACTGGCCGAGAAATTTATACTCAGCAACCAAGGAAGGAAGAGATCCAGCACTTTAAAAACATCACTGAAGCTCTGAATTTAGATGTACACACACTAATGAGGATTCTAGACAGCCTACAGTCACACAAATAGAAAATGTGATTAGGTACTAAATTCTTTTGGGGTTTAAATAAATAATCCCTTTACTCCTAAATTCATATAGCTAGGAAGCTTGTGTGTGTGTGTGTGTGTGTATTTTTATGTTACCAAAATATTGTTTGAAAGACTAACAATTTAGTTTTACAAGAGTGGTCATTTTGTTACTAAGAAACAAGGTTATTAGCCATGAGACTAGTGTTATGGATCTTGGTAAGCAATGATTAAAATGGCTTTCTTCAAGCTATCTGGCCCCAGTGTAGACCAGACTTTAGTTTTATAGTCTTTCCCTTTCTTCTCTAGCAGACTTACAGCTTCTAGTAGTCATTTTGTGGCTTCTGAAATCATATGACATTGTAACTGCTTCACTTCATTTTAGTATCATAATAGGATGGTATCTACCTTCCCTACCAACCTTGCCTTCTCTCACCTCTCCACTTGAAGTCCTTGTACTCCAGTTTAAAAAAAAAAAAGAATTATACAACTTAAACACTACAATCCTTAGCTCGTTAACATCTATTTATAAATTTCTAAATCATGAGAACACATATTTTTTCAAGAGGAAGATAGCCATCATTATTTTCAGTCTCAAAGAGTAAATAATTTTAACTGTTCTTCCCAAAGATGGCATAGAGTATCTTCATTTTGTAAACCAGAAATTTAAAGTAAAGAGTCATACAAAGTAGTGGAAGAACTAAGAAAGAATTTACCCTGTCATTTGAGGTACCTTGTCACCAAAGGCTATATGACCACTTATTATGGACATTTCAGAGGAAATGTCATGCTTTAGAAAGGAATTGGACTAGAAAACTTCTCAGATTCCTTCAATCTCTAAAACTATTAATTTCATAAATTCTTTCTGCTACATGAGGCAAACAAAAAGTCCTTTCTTGCACAAGTCTTAGAAATGCCATTGGAATATAAGACATTTGTTGCTATTTTGGGATCTCCAGTACCTAACACAATACTTTACACATAATAGGTGCATAACGTATGTTAAGCCCAATTGATCTTTTTAAAAAAAAACAAATATTTTCATTTACTTAAGAGGAAACCTGAGAATTAAGTCCCTTAGTGAAAATAAAATACTCTTTTGTTAAAACATAGAAGTTTTGGTGTTTTTTTTTCAATCTGGAAAGCTTAATATCAGACCCGTGAAAAATCCAAATTTTCAAAAGTGGATGGAGAAGAAAAAATATTTTAGGTCTTATCATCTTCTTCCTTTATTTTAAATACTTAAATTCCAGGAGAGAAAATACATGTCTAGCTTAGAGCAACTGTTTTTCCAAATTGGAAATGAAAAACGTAGGTATAACTTACCTTAAGTTTTCTAGGATTTGGGGATGGGTTTTTTTTTCTTTCTACAGCTACACTAAATTCCAGACACCTAATACATTTATATCAGATAGAGGAAAATAAAAGGAAGTCATCCATTTTTTGTAGGACCAGATTTTCCCAAAATCATAGTTAAAAAGGACGGGATGGTATGGTGAAAAGAGTACAAGATTTGGAGGTAAAGGACCTAAAGCTAATGCCAGTTCTGCCACTCACCACCTGTGTGACCTTGTCACATAACCTCTCTGTTATTCAATTTCCTCATCTACAGAGTGGGGCTAGCGGTGGTGGTGTTGTAGTGGAAGTGACTTCCAAGATCCCTTTCAGTTCTATGATCCAATGAACTGGCAGGATAAGGTACCAGACACTGAAGTCCTTTCTCAAACTAAACTGCCAGACATTCAGACTATTGCAGAGAGCAGAACCTCTGATGGGCTGGCCACGTTGTTTGAATGCTAAACATACATTTGCTGCCTAAAAGACTATTTTACGGGGACCTCATATGAGGAGAGTGCTCACACAGTGGTCAGAAGAAACACTACAAGGACAATCTTAAGGTCTCTCTGAAGAACATTGGAATTGCTTGTATGACATGAGAGACACTGGCACAGGACCATCCAGCATGGCATGCCCTCATCAAAGAAGGTGCTATGCATGAGCAAAGCAGAATTGAAGTAGCTCAAAAGAAATGCAAGATGTGCAAATTTAGAGAATCCACCCTAACTGTTCACATGGATCATTTGTGCCAGACCTGTAGTGCAGTATTCTGAGTTGGTATTGTTCTAATCAGCCACAGCTGGACACACTGGAACTTGACTTAACATAGTGATGTCATTTTGTTCCTCTTTGAGAACGAAGGCCAACAACCAACACCAACCAACCTAGATGTCACCCAGCCTATCTTTCATCTTAAACATGAAGTTAAAAAAAAAAAAAACAAAAATAAGGGGCAGCTAGGTGGAGCAGTGGATAGAGCACCAGCCCTGAAGTCAGGAGGACCTGAGTTCAAATCCGGACTCAGACCAAACACTTGACACTTACTAGCTGTGTGACCCTGGGCAAGTCACTTAACCCCAATCGCCTAAAAAAAAAAACCAAACAAACATCTTAAACAGTAACCATTTCTGACGAGTAGTCACCTAGCCTCCACCTAATCACTTCAGCTAGTTGGGAGCTCATTATCTCAAAAGGTAGTTATTCCATTTGGGGACATTTCTAATTATTACAAAGCTATTCATTATTATTAGGACCAAATGTATAATATGCTTTTTAGGTCTATTTCTTGATTTCTACCACCAAGTAAAATATTGAGAACTTAAAACATCTGACTCTGAAAATGCTAAAAGTGCACGGTCAAGGCATTGTACAGGGCATAATTCACAATTAGTACAATGATCCATTATATTCAGTGGAAGAAAAAAACTTTTATTTTTTTCTCCAACATTTAAGGAATCCATTAGAACAAAGCAGAGATGTGGAAGAAAATTAGAAAAAAAATAGAATCGAATAGGGTACCAAACATTCTTCTCTAAAAAAGAAATCTAAACCAGAGGAAAGATACTTAAGACTTGGCCTAGAAGAGGTGTGCATAGGGTTAGCTAGAACTTGCTACGTGATAGAAGGAATGGATAAAATATTGCCCTTAATAGGGGCCAGGAAAGAGAGTAGGAGAGAACAGTTAGTTGTTCTCTTATCAGTTCCAAGGTCCCTATTGTCAACTTAACAGATCACTTATGACCTCTTCAATTATTCATTGGGCCCCAAATAACTAGGCTATACAAAGTTCTTTTTTTAGATTATCAAAAATAAGTTTATGGGGCAGCTAAGTGACACAGTGGATAGAGCACAGGCCCTAAAGTCAGGAGGACCTGAGTTCAAATCCTACCTCAGACCAAGCACTTGACACTTACTAGCTGTGTGACCCTGGGCAAGTCACTTAATTGCCTAAAATAAATTTTTATTTAAATTTTTAAAAAGTTCTTCTTTTAATAACATGATTCATTTCTGAGAAGAACAGAGATAATATGTAACTAGTCTAAGTTACAATAGCCATGTACTATATTTGTCATCCTGGAAATGTACCTTTGCAAGTATGCTAATAGCACAGGCCATACCAACTTGTCCAACGCCCACGACAGTAATCTTATTGTTTGGGGCTGCTGCCTCCTCTTCTGCAACTGGCACAATCAGTTTTTCCTTAAGAGTTGCCATTTTGTCCTGCAAGAAAAAAAAAAACATTACGCACAGATGTATACTTGAACTGAGATGGTATCTTCACTGGATTACTGGAGCAATTTGCTAACTAACATACAAGATCTGGTATGCCTAAAGGGTATTATGAGGAATTCAGAGAGTGTTTTTTAAAAAATAGATGATGCATTTAATGGAGGCTTTTAATCCAAGTAGTCACACATAATTTCATTTTGGCTAATATTATTCTAATTCCTTTCCTCTTATTCATTTCCCCCTTCATTTGCAACATGAAGGAGTCTTTCCTTTATACCTCAATTTGCTTGTTGTTGCATTTTTAAATCACTACAAAATTTTGCTCAACATGATTTCATTCACATTAGCACCTTAATTTTGGAGATAGTCCATATCTGCACTTTTTTTGTACCAGACCTATAATTTTATTTGCTTAGGGAGTTACCAGAAAGAAAATTCCCTTGGCCATTGGGTACCTACTCTGAAACTCGTAGTCTTAAGAGTCACTTATGGCTGTGGTGTCAAATTCAAATACAAATTGGGCCATTCATTCATATATGAGGATTCCTGTGCCCACATACTGACTTAGTTTTAAAATGTAATATTATCTATTTTTTATATTTTGTTGTGTAAGCATTTCTCAATTATATTTTAATCTGGTTTAGGCTGCTCTAAGGAGCCATAGGGCATACCTCTGGCCGAAGGCATTGTGAGCTTAAGTGACTTGCCTGGGCTGACAGTATGTGTCAGATATGAAACAAAGTCTTCTAGATGCCAGAGCTAGATTTCTATTCACTATTCTATGACACCACTCTTCCTGCTGTACGAATAAGAAATTTATAATGTACTCAAACAGCCATGAAGTTCAAATACTAAAAAGAGTTTAAGCTAGAACTAAAAAAGCAGACTAGGAGTAAGAATTTGTAGTTTAAAAAAAAACTAATATGATATGTGTGGAACCAATACCCAGACAGCGGGATGACTCCTAACAGGAGACAGCCTGGGGGAGGAACTCCTTTGGGAGACCTCAAACTAGCCAGCTGGTATTTTCCTATTTTAACTACATATTCTTACTAACTAGGTGCTAAGCTCAGTTGATTTTACCTGCTCAGGGAGACCAGAGAGCTAAATTTCTTAAAAATTATATGCTGGGGGCAGCTAGGTGGTACAGCGGATAAAGCTCCAGCCTTGGAGTCAGGAGGACCTGAGTTCAAATCTGGCCTCAGACACTTGACACTTACTAGCTGTGTGATCTTAGGCAACTCACTTAACCCTGATGGCCTCACCAAAATTAAATTAAAATTTTAAAAAATCATATGCTAAACCGTCTATGGAGTAGTGAACTGATCCAACCATTTTGCAGAGCAATTCTGAGCTATGCCCAAAGAGCTATAAAACTATACATACCCTTTGATCCAGCAATACCAATGCTAGGTCTATATCCCAGACATAAAAAAAAATGGGGGGAAGAGGGGGGACAAGTACCTATTTGCACAAAAATATTTATAGCAAAAGTTTTTGTGGTGGCTCAAAATTGGAAATCAAAGGGATGCCCATCAACTGGAGAATGGCTAAACAAGATGTGGTATATGATTGTAATGGAATATTATTGTGCTATAAGAAATGACAAGCAGGATGATCTCAGAAAACCCTGAAAAGACTTACATGAACTGATGTATAGTAAAGTGAACAAAACCAGGAGAATGTTTTACACAGTAACAGCAATATTGTAGATGAAGAACTCTGAGTGACTTAGCTATTCTCAGCAATACAATGATCCAAGACAATCCCAAAGAACTAATGATGAAGCATACTATCTGCCTCCAGAGAAAGAACTGATATTGTTTGAATACAGACTGAAGCATGCCATTTTTCACTTTCATTCTTTTATTTTTTCCTTTTATTTGAATCTTCTTGTACAAAATTACTGATAAGGAAATGTTTTACATGATTGCATATGTATAATTTATATCCGATTGCTTACCATCTCAGGAAAGGAGAGATAGAATTTAGAAATCAAAACTTTAAAAATGTTTCAAAAAACTATACTACTGGTGGGGTTCCTCCTTCATACACAGTGGTCAAAATAAGAATAAAAAGTACCTGAAATGTGAAAAAAAATTACATGTGAAGTACAAGTTAGAAATATTACTGTATGAAGATTTATGGAACCATGGGCAGGAATTTATGTGACAGTTATTTTGGGTGCTCAGAAGTCACTTTTTTTGTTTGTTTTCCAGCCTGTCTTCCCAACAGCTGAAATTGAATAGAATTACTTCAGCACTTCTTGGATCAATAAATAATTTCCTGTCTGTGGTTATTCCATCAGCTCAAATAGACAGCAACTCTTCCATTGTAGGCCTTCTAAACATTAGTGTATGGTTTAATGAGTCGCTATGGCCAAAGAAACTCATCACTTATCGACCAGGCCTATGACAATGAACTTCTTCAAACTTGGCTAGTCCTCCATAAGACATACAGTCAGTGACTAGGCATAGGACCTCTACCTTAAAGTCCCTTCCAGCATTCTATGACATACTGGGTCTTGTGTTCTTTCACCACAGCCTTTGAGATCTCAAGGTCACCACCACAACATAAGCATCAAAATAGAACGAATTTCCTCAACTGAAGGTGCTAGATTAAATGACCTCTATGCTTCCTTCCAACTCTAAAATGTATGACTCATGATCCTTTGTGGAGGTGTTAATATGCTGACACTGCCTTTTCAAATACAAACATTGTATTTTCTCATATACCCTAATACATTTTTTGAAAGGAAGATAGCAAAGCTGTGCAGCTCCTTCCTTTTTCCTTTCTAAAACAAAGCCTATAACTATGATACTCACATTTAAAAACAAACCATCCTTTTAGAGTAGGTGCTGAAGAAAAAAATGTGAAAGTACAATGTCCTTCCCGGCTATTATTTAACTGATTGTTATTTTAAATATACACTGGACGAGGGATGGGGAGACGGGTGTGATGGGAGACAAGCTCTGGACCTAGAGTCAGAAAGATCTGAATTCAAAACTGTCCTTGGATTCTACTAGCTATGTGCTAGTGAAGTGACAAGTGACAAGTGACAAATCAGTTATCTTCTCTCTGCCTTTAATTTCCTCATCTGTAAAATGGAGACAATAGCCCCTATCTCCAGGGTTGTTTTGAGAATAAAATGTGATAAAATTTGTAAAGCGATTTGCAAACCTTAAAGCATTATAAAATGCTAGTTGTTGAGACAGTTAGGTGGCTAAGTGGATAAAGCGTAGGCCCTGGAATCAGGAGGATGTGAGTTCAAATGTGACCTCAGACACACAACACTCACGAGCTGTGTGACTCTAGGCAACTCACTTAACCTCAATTTCCTCACAAAAAAAAAGAAAAAGAAAAAAATGCTAGTTGTTTTTATTGTTAAATGTTGGCTACAGAAATAAAGTAACATTAAGTGCACAAAGTATCCAGTGATTGTCTTCCTTATAGATTTATTTGGGCAATTATGATGCACTCACAAGTTGTCTTTCAGGGATTAATGAAAACCTGGCTCACTGAATTGATTGTACACATATATACAAGCAGGATAATGACTTGCACTCCAACCCCCCAACCTCAGCATCCATATCCCCCTCAGCATACATAAGTGTACTCAAATTATTTGCCCAGACGTGTTTTAGAATGTAAATAGAGGTAGGCAGGTGAGTACTAAGTAATAAAAACAGGCCAGGAAGGTTCTAAGAACCATTGCTTTTATTACAGAAAACAGGCTTGTCATCTCTCTAGGGCCTTTCAGAGAGTCCTCCAGAGATTAACTTGAATCACAAAGCTCCTTGTCTGGAGATCTTTCTCAAGTATAGTTCTTTAAAATATATGTGTGTATGTACATGTATTCATATTTAGTTGTTCAGATCTTTTATTTCCATCATCCTCACTACCTGAACTTGAACCCCTTCACTTGTACAAAAAACAAAGATTTATCTGTTCACAAATAGCATAGCAGGGCTACCTGCAATACTATATGGTATGAGTTGCACCCCCAGCAATGATATCAAGAATTCAGAGCAATAAGGGGAGCCTTGTATGAAGTGATGCAAGGTAAAGAAAACCAATTGAAATTGGTTGAAATGCACAGCAACACTAGCTATAAAAATTAAGTCAGCTACAAACAATAGATTTTGAAATTCAATAATTTTAATAATCAAGTTTTTAAGTACTCACTCTTTCTTTTAATAAAAGTTATACTGTCAGTAAAGTTAGCATAAACTTAGGTAATTGTAAACTGTTAGTAAAGTGTTAGGTTTCATTTATGATCAATCACAATCACTTTTGCATGTCCTGTTTTCAGGATTAGATTTTGTGGGCACAAATAGTGAGTCTGCTATGGGAGTGTGTACATTATCAGAACAAAATTTATGAATAAAAAAAGAGAAAAATCCTTTTCCTTGAGTTTAAAACAAGGGTACCTCTCCCACCTCCCCCTCTTGGGGCTGTTAATTGCAGTCTGCATACTTTTTGCCTCCCACGGGTACACCCCGTGTGCTTCTCCGCCTTGCACCACACTGTGCACAGTAGCTAAGGTAAAGGAAGATGCTGAGACAGTAACAGCCACGGCTCCCATCAGAAAAAGGTCTCTGCAGAGAGACTAGGCCATTTTGACTCATCACACGGAGACGGTGAAATCAACAAAACCCATCAAGAAAAGCCTGGAAAGAATTGGACAGCCAATTACTTGACATGCACAGGGTAGGGGACTATGCCTTCTTCCTTGTATGTAGTGTAGCATTCGCTTTCAGATCAATCCTACATTTCTGCTGTTCCCTCCACCACTGGATCTCATCACTATCTATATGCATGATGGGCATCCCGAAAAGAGACAGTTCTCCACCCTCTCTCCAACCCGTAGAAGGCCCAGTTCGAAATTATTCCGTCCCTATCCCTTTGTCCTATTTCTCGGTCTTTCTACTAACTTTCCCCACCCCCTTACTTCTACACTTTCACACACCGCCCGCCCCCCCACCCATGTTTTCTGGGCACAGTGCCCTGGGCCTCTGCCAGCAGGCACCAGGATGATGAGAACTCAGTGAACCTCTCAAGGACACAAAGGGCTCTCAGGACTTGGCTGCAGAGACCCATAGGCAACAGGTTTCTTTGCCATACACCAGAGACAGGGGTCCGGGCCCTCTTTGCTGCAGTGCGGATAAAAAAAAAAATCCACCACCGTACATTCTAAAGAGCTTCCGTCTCTCCCCGCCAATTGCATCTCCCCCTTTTGGAAAAGCATCTCCAGGAATCAGAGGGAGCGGGGAGAGAATCCTAGTGGCTGTCAAGATGTGCCAAGGCTCTCTAGACTTGGAGGCCAAGCCATCCTTCTTGCCCAGGGTCCTCTCCTGCACCGACTCCCCCCACAAAAAAACTGCACCGCATCCCCATCCCTTCTCGCCTTCCTGAAGGAGCAAAGCGACCAATCTCCAGGACCAAAACTTACCTGCCTGAAGAGTAGCTGATTGCCTGTGATGAAATTTGTCTCAAATAGAGGACAGTGTCAGCTGCGTCTTTCTCCAGTCGTGCCCTAGCTACAAGGAGAGAGGAGGAGGCGGGGCCCCAGCACCCTCCACTGCCTCTAAAGTTTCTCTATTGTGATTGGAAACTCGAGAGACGCCTGCCCTCGGCTCATTCAATCGCCTTCAAGGACAAGGACTCAAGTATGCAGTCGTCCTTCCCCTTCTCTGGGTAGAGGGGGGGGGAGGGCGGAGGGAGGAAAGAGGTCACCTACAGAGAGTTTCCCCTAGGTGTACTTACCGCTACCTTCTCTTCTTACACCTTTATTGCTACATGCATATGTATAGACATATACACCACATCACACACACACACACATTTTACAATCACATTTTAAAAGCCCATTTCTTTTGTTAGGATAAGGTCTTTGACGTGGGTTTTGCCGGCATTTTAAGAATGCAGAGCTCACTACGTTAAAAAAAAAAAGTCTATCCTTGAGAACCTCTACCATAAAGATGCTCCTGAAACTATAATAGCAATTCAATGGTGTGAGACTTCAGCAATAATTAATTTGCCTTTTTACTTAATAAAGTTAGATTTCATTTTGTTTGATGGAAAAATAAACACTATCTCTTCTAAGGTAGGTCTTTTAAACGTGCTTTACTCTTATTTTTTCTTTAGGAAAGGTACATGGCAGGGCCAGAAGTTTGGAGGTGCACCAATCGGCAAGTTTTTATTAAATTCCTTCTATGTGCCAGGCACTGTGCTAGGCCCTGGGGATACAAATACAAAAAATGAATAATCCCCAAACTTGAAATGAGGGGACCTTTCAGGTTTCTGAGCAATTCAATGGATTGAACAAACATTCAGTAAATGCAGGATGTTGTGCTAGGCATTGTGGAAAAACTTCATTACTTTGTTCAATATTTTAAGGGATCCAAGATGTGCACTATGCAGGTACTCTCTCTAATTATGTAGATTGCAACCCATCCATTCTTCTAATCCCCTGGATCTGTTTGATATCCATATCCCCTTGTAAATCTTCCATAAGGACAAAGGATCCACCTATGTGCTATGTGGCTTGCAGAATCTTTGTGGAATCTTTGTCAGGTAATTGGATCACCTTTTTTTTTTTCCTCCCAGTTAAGGGACAGTTTAATGTAAGGCCAATAGAAGCAGGCAGAGTTCCTAGTGAATCTTTGACTTAGTTGGTTGAGATGCTTATATACAAAAAGGACAGTGAAAGGATCTGGATAGAATTAAGGAGTAGTAAGTAGTCTGGAGTGGGCCAACTGCAACGGTGAAAATACAATCAAGGAGGCTAATTAGGTGATCTAGATGGGATTAAGGAATGGGTTGGGTAGGCCAAGTGAGACAGTGAAAGGAATGTCGTTAGCTGATTAGGTGATCTAGGTGGGCTGGGGTGGGCCAATGGCCTTGGGCAGAGGTGCCAGTGATCTGGGCTGCTGAAATGCATGGGAAAAATTCAGGGACTGGGTTGCTTTCAAAGACATGGTCATTTCCTTTTAGGGGTCATTACCCCCTCAAACAAATGAGGCCCAAAATCTTTTGGGGTAAGAGGCAAAGGTCTTAGCTTCTGAAACTGCTTCCTGCTGGCAAGGGCCAAACTCTAGGGTTTGATAAACCCAAACATCCCAGCTTCTGGGATAATAACTTCCTATTGGGGAGCTGGAAGTGTAGCCAGAATGAAGGAGTAAAAGCAGTGACTTGCTAGAGCTCTCCCCCCCCCAACCCCTCCAAATACCTGTAAAAAAATGGCTCTAAAATTCTAAAGCAGCAGCTAGGTGGTGCAGTGGATAGAGCACCGGCCTTGAAATCAGGAGCACCTGAGTTCAAATCTGGCCTCAGACCAAACACTTGACACTTACTAGCTGTGTGACCCTGGGCAAGTCACTTAACCCCAATTGCCTGAAAACAAACAAAACAAAACTAAACTAAAATAAAATTCTAAAGCAACAGAACCCACAAAAAGACAGAGTGAAACAAATTCCCAGCCCAAGACAACCTGGATGGTTGATTGGAAAGGACAATAACTTCCTATTTGACAAAAACTCCTGGGAAAACTAGAAAACAACACAGCAAAAACTATAGACCAATGTCTTACACCACATACCAAGATAAGGTCAAAATGAGATTTAGACATAAAGGGCAATACCATAAGTAAATTAGGAGAGCAAGGAATAGTTTCTGTCAGATCTTCGAAGTGGGGAATAATTTATGACCAAACAAGAAATAGAGAGCATTAGGAAATGTAGAATGGATAATTTTGATCATATTAAATTAAAAAGATTTCACAAAACCAGTGCAGCCAAGATTAGAATGGAAAACAGAAAGCTGGGAAATAATCTTGATAGCAAATTGCTCTTATAAAGGCTCATTTCTCAAATATGTAGAGAAGTGAGTCAAATACATAAGAATACAAGCTATTTACCAATTGATAAATGGTCAAAGGATATGAAGGGGCTGTTTTCAAATAAAGCTATCTATAGTCATGAATAAATACTCTAGATCACTATTGATTAGGGAAAATGCAAATTAAAACAACTCTGAGGTACCACCTCACACCTTTTAAATTAGCTAACATGACAAAAAAGGAAAATGACAAATTTTGGAGGGGATGTGTGAAATTGGGACACTAATGCATTGTTGGTAGAGTTGTAAAGTGATCTAGCTGTTTTGGAGGGTAATTTGGAACTATGTCCAAAGGCCTATAAAACTTGTGTACACCCTTTGATCCAGCAATACCACCACTAGTTCTGTATCGCAGAGATTTCTTAAAGGGGAAAAGACCTATTTGTACAGAAATATTTATAGCAGCCCCTTTTATAGTGGCTAAGAATTGGAAATTGAAGAGATGCCCATCAATTGAGGAATATCTGAACAAGCTGTGGTATGTGATCATAATGGGATATTTTTGTCCTATAAGAAATAACAAACAGGATGGTTTCAGAAAAACCTGGAAAGACTTACATGAACTGGTGCAAAGTGAAGTGCGCAGAACCAGGAGAATATTGCAGATAGTATCAGCAACATTATGTGATGATCAACTATGAATGACTTTGCTCTTCTCAGCAATACAACGATCCAAGACAATTCCAAATAACTCATGATGGAAAATGCTATCCACATCCAGAGAAAGAATTGCTGAAGTCTGAATGCAGAGCAGAACATAACTATTTTCACTTTCTTTATTTTTTGTGATTCTTTTCTTTTGAACTGTTTCTCCTTTTACAACATGACTAATATGAAAATTCTATTGTTTGCCTTTTGTTCTTGAAGAGGACCATGACATCAGGTTGGTGATGCTATGACATGCAAGTGAATTGGATTTAAGTGAGGGAGGGCTGTGCAAAGTCAACAGCCTCACTTTCTCCTCCACAGCCATCTGGGTCCAGTGGCCAGATATAGATAAGGATAACTGGAGATGATCCAGGATGCAGTGGGGAACTTTGGCCTTTTTAAGCTAAGGTCTTTAACAGGTCTCAGTTTGAGGAGGCAGTGCTTATTCAGTGATTAAGGCTTAATAAAAATTAGGCAACAATAACAAACAACTGGATCTGGGAGGGGAAGACCCTTTGGGTTTCTGGCCAAAACAGAAACAATTGTTATTTACATTCATTCTGAGCCAATCAGGGCCCAAATAGTGGCCAAGTAGGGCTTGGTCTGGGACCAGAGTGATTGGGGGTTAAGCTGATCTTTGAGAGAAAACAAAACAAAACAACAACAGTAAAAGTTTCAGAGATCAAAATACATATTCTCTTTGGGAAGAACACAGGCAGGTAAGGATGTGATACCCAACATGGAGAAAGAAGAATGGAGAAAGAAAGAAGAAAGAAAGAAAGAAAGAAAGAAAGAAAGAAAGAAAGAAAGAAAGAAAGAAAGAAAGAAAGAAAGAAAGAAAGAAAGAAAGAAAGAAAGAAAGAAAGAAAGAAAGGAAGGAAAGGAAGGAAGGAAGGAAGGAAGGAAGGAAGGAAGGAAGGAAGGAAGGAAGAGAGAAAGAGAGAAAGAAAGAAGCAGTGTTGCCCAACTGGAAGCTCTCTACTTACGGTGGTTGTTGTTTGTCCTTTCTTCTCGTGAGGGAGGGCTGTGCAAAGTCACTAGTTGCAGCATCAGGAAAACTGGAGATGGCCCAGGATGCAGTGGGAGACCTTGGCCTTTTCAAGCTAAGGTCTTTAAGGGGTCTCAGGGGCCTAGGTACTCAATAATCCTTTTAAGGCCCTTTTACTGTGGCTCTACCACCCAGCCCAGACTACTTAACTCCTTTCATTGTCTCTACCCTGCCCACCCCAGGCTATTTACCACTCCTTAATCCCAGCCAGATCTTCTCACTGTCTTTTCTTTTATATAAGTACCAATCTTGCCCCCATTAAGTTGGGAAGATTCACTTGGCATCTTGCCCTCTTCTATTGACAATAGAATAAACTGCCCCTTGACTGAAAGAAGGCTTGAGTGGTTGAATTCTTTTGATGCAGATCCTCTGTACCATTGCATTTTCGGGTCTCCAGTACCCCAAACACATCAGCATCACCTCTCTTATGTCATGATCCTGTTCAAAAATGAAGGACAAACAGTAACCTCTGTGAGTAGAGAACTTCCAGTTGGGCAACACTGCTTGCTTGCTTGCTTTCTTCCTTCCTTTCTTTCTTTTCTTTCTTTCTTTCTTTTTTTCTCTTTCTTTCTTTCTTTCTCTCTTTCTTCTTTCTTTCTCTCTCTCTCTCTCTCTCTTTCTCTCTTTCTTTCTTTCTTTCTCTCTTTTTTCTTTCTTCTCTCTCCTTTCTTCTCTCTCTCTCTCTTCTCTCTCTCTTCTCTCTCTCTCTTTCTTTCTTTCTTCTTCTTTCTTTCTTTCTTCTTTCTCTCTCTCTCTCTCTCCCCATTCTCTCTCTTCTCTTCTCTCTTCTCTCTTTCTTTCTTTTCTTTCTTTCTTTCTTTCTTTCTTTCTTTCTTTCTTTCTTTCTTTCTTTCTTTCTTTCTTTCTTCTCTCTCCACATTAGGTATCACACCCTTACCTGCCTGTGCTCTGCCCAAAGGGAATGTAAATTTTAATCTCTGAAACTTTTGCTATTATTATTG